AACCAGCATGTAAATATGTCTCGTTAATTTCCATCAACCATCAACACATAGAGGAGGCGATACTTCACCTCAAGTAGCAAGCTGTTTTCCCTTATTGTAGTTTCTTTTTTCTGAGCCACAGGGCACAAGGCCCTCGTTCCATTGCATTGTGCATGAAACATCATACAGTGTACAGCACCTTACTACAAAATTAAACACTGCTGATGCAGAACCTGAAATTAATTCTATGATTCTATCCAAAACATTCAACAACCACAGAGGTATAAGCATGACCGCCCTGTAGGATTTATTACGCTCTATTTTATTCGTCCGGTCATCATGCCATAAATGAGCATTCGTACAAGGCACAGACACGCAAACTGGAGTCGTCCATTGATGGGCTTAGTTACGTGGACACCAAAAGGGACCCAACAAAATCAACTGGAGAGAGAGGTACATTACAGATTACACACAGATGTTCATGATGAAATAGCGAAAAATACATTGGTAGCGTTGCTTAATGATGCAGATGTTTCTCCCTGGTTCCCTCCATCTTCGCGGCTAAAGCAGAGTATCATCACAGTTGGAGGACAAATTTGGCCACAAGCACGTTCCCAACCTCAAACCCGCTCACGAGATCATGCCTTCTAAATATCTACATGCTGGACATGCTTAAGATCGATGGAGAAAAACACTGCATCAAGAGAACCTTTTCTTTTCTCATTCAAGAGATAACGACCGATGCGATCTTAGCACACCTTGTATTTCCTAGCTTGAAATAAAATTAGTGAAGGAGAGATGAGGAGTGCACGTCTAGTAGTAGGAACAAACACAAAGCTGCAACAGTTTTTCTCCTCTTATATAATTTATTTATTATTAACTTAAAACACAAAGAAAATCGGAAAAAGGAAAAGAAGAAACCTAGCCAGGAAAACACAAAGCGGCAGCAGTTTTTCTCTTATTATAGAATTTATTTATTCGGAAAATAAGAAGCCTAGCCAGGAAGAAAATAGGAAAACCGGAACAGGGAATATAAAGATGCTTTGCCAGGATTCGAACCCATGACCGGTGGATAGCTAAAACAGCTAACCATCCACGCTAGCGGTGTCTTGTCTCGTGTGTCACGGTGGTGTACATATCTTGGCCTGCATGATGGTGTCTGAGTTCTGACCTTATACTCCATCGAGGCTTGTATGACCTAGAAACACCAATCAAAATGTCACCCCCACCCCTCCACACCCCAAAAAAGGCCAATATAAATGGCGCCATATCCCTGAGGGCTAGAACTGTAAAATGAGTGTTTGGAGGGGCCAGCATGGTAATAAAGTCTAAATGAACGTCATTTAGAAAGAAAAACAATTCTCCTTTTCACACTTTGACCTGTCGAAGCATGAATATTTCTGCTGGATGGAGGGTTATCTGGAAATTGTCTGTGATGCTTTTCCAAGGAAGTTGCTACTGAAACGTATAAATGTGGAAGTGTGTGCTATGATTGTCCACATTGCCCCTGTCTTTCACTTTCTATCTCTGGCAGCGATTTTTTTTTTCCGTTACCTCGTATCTACTCTCCTTTACCATGAATATAGATAGCAGATTTTTTCCAGAAAGGACTCTAACCTCTAAATTCTTTTCCTCTCTTTACTGGAACTGTCGTCAAAACAAATGAATTTTAGTATTTGTAGAATTATTTACATCATGAATTTGGTTTAAGAATACGAGGGGATACTCTGAGGAGTTTACATTACTTTGATACGGAGGTAATACTAGATAGAGCATTCAGTAGTAGCAAAAAGAAGGTTGAGCATTCAGGTAGATATAAAATGTCTGTGCAAAGAAATCAGCATTTCTCTCTTCAATGCTGGATTCTTCAAGGAGTTATGGCAGGCTGTGATCTTTACTCCGTCATACTAATGATTGGTTATAGAAACAGCCCCTTTTGCCCAGATTTCAGTGAAGTCCTCAAATTGGTCATCATAATGAATTTGTACCAATGTCCATCAGATTATGATCAGACTGATCTGGTCTGTTTTTCACAATCGTGTTTCTTCACAGTATACCAATCGAAAACAAAGGAGGTTCAAAGATTTAGAAGTCACTCCTTCTGTTTCCAGCCATGTTTATTTTAGATGTTAGGCTAAAAGTCCTAACAAAGTAACCATGATAACTGATATAGCATCCTTTGGGGAAGAAGTTCCATTATGACTTTGATCATTAGCATGCTACGTTAGAGGTTGAAATTAAAGATCTCTGATGTATATATTGCGTTTTGTGTGTATGACGCAGGATGAATTGAATGAGCTTGAAACCATGGAACCTGCATCTGCGGCATGCCGGGAGTAAGTAATTTCAAGTATATCGCATATGTTTCCCCGCATTCTTGCATTCCAGTTTGTGATTGTTTTTCCTCTTGAGTAAGCCAGGGTGATCACAAGTACTGAAGGAAAGCCTGACCCGCTTCTTCCAATGTAAGTGCCACCACATCTTATTCTTGCTAGTACCTCGCCCTAGGAAATCTGACCGTATGAGCACACCCCCAAAGTGTAACACCGTCACATTTTTGCAGCACAAGTAGCCCGGAGAACTCTTCCTGGGACAGGTGGTTCCAGCGCGTGCGAAGCTCCCGCAGCAACAAATGGTGGCAATCCAAAGGCTCCGATTTTGCCTAGCTTTCGCCGAAGCTGAGACAAGCTGTGTGCAGATTGAATCTCCCCCGATCCGTATGGTCCATCCATGGATGGCTTGGCAACAGAATACAACCCAGTTTTTCCTGAGAATTGTTGTGTATGTAATCCCTAACAAAAACATGAATGTATCCCCATTAGTCCTGATTGCTGTTCAGAAAATAGTCCTGTAATTCATCTAGCCATGTTCGATTCTTATGGTCTTGGAGCAAAATGGTCCTGTACTTTTGGGCAAGTTTGTTGACCTTTGAGCAAAATTTCTCATGTGCATCTAATTTTGTTGAAATTTGTTGAAGCACCGCATTTCGTGTGATTTGGCTACTTCTCTTTATACTGGAAGTATATGCTTTTGATGAATAATAATATCTCAAAACATGGTTGTGCAAAATATGCGGTCCACGATCTCACACTGTCATGTGGGGACCGCATGTTTTTCTTTTGGAAGAAGAGGGCCCAGCCCCGATTCCATTGCATAGCAAAGAAATCACAGTAGTACATCGAAGAAACTACAGGTCCAAAACAGACTCCAGCAAGCAAGAAGCAGAAAAGTAAAGATCGCGACTAGCTACCTAGCTATTACAAGGGAAACAGCCTCAGGCTCAAATACTAGCTAGGCAAAGACTAGCCACCTCCTCTGCTAAGATAGACAACAGAACCTAAACACTAAAACAAGAGAACTGCCACAACTCCTCAGCCTGGATCTGGCCACATCAGCGGTAACGGTGCTTTGATCAGAATCTTCAGCTCCCGCACCATGTCCTGGACTTGTAACAGGGTCTGCATCCAGCGGTTCCCATCGAGCAGCGTATGAGGCAGTCTTGCGCCAGAGTACTTGTATATTAGTCCATTTGGCGTGGTTAAATACAAAATCATTCCTGGTATTCCAGATGGCCCAAAGGCCGGCTGCATGCAAAATATTAATAGCATCCATTTTGTTTTCCTCTAGACCAGCAATCTGCAAAGGATAACATATTGGATGTCCCTCTATATCTAGTGATACTAGATATATTCTTTCAGAATTCAATCGCAATGTCACAGCCAAAAAATAAGTGATGGCAAGATTAATTATTCGAACAAAAAGGGCAAGTGGTGTCAGGGACATTTTGCCTTTTGCCCAAGTTGTCTCTGGTCAGAATCTTGTTATTGACCACAACCAAAGAAAAATATGAATCCTGGCAGGGATCTTAATTTTCCACACTGCAGGAGTGTTATTAGGCAACACACCCCTAAAATTAACTATATTATATAAAGATTTAACAGAATAAACCCCACTGGAATTAAGGTTCCAGACTAAGGAGTCTTCTGTCTCAGGAAAAGTAATGGATTTAGCAATCTCCAAGAGTTCAAACCAAAGAGAAAGAAGCTCGTTGGAGAAACATCTCCTAAAAGTGACTTTGAGGTTAGAGCCATCCCACACTTTATCTAAGGCGCAATCGTATTCATTGGCAAGTTTGTATAAGTCCCAATAGAGAGTAGCTAGTGGGGCCGATCCAAACCAATGATCCTCACAAAATCTAACTTTCTTGCCATTACCAATGCTCCAGGAATATCCAAACTTAGTAGCTTGGGCAGCCCAAAGAACACCCTTCCAAAAGGGTGAGGCACCTAGAGAGGGACAAGTAAAAATGTTGGGGGACTAGGTGTTGTACTTAGCATCTATAATACTTTTCCAGATCTTCCCCTCATCTTTATTATATCTACTGACCCAAGAAGCTAGCAGGCATAAATTCATATCAGAGAGGTCAGTGATCCCCAGGCCTGCATAGGCTTTCTTCATAGATAAAGTCTCCCAGCTAGCTAGATGATATTTATGATGTCCTTCATAATCATCCCAAAAGCAATGAGCTAGCTGAGAGTTGATGAGCTTAATAGCCCACTTGGGGAATTTAATATATCCCATAAGATAAGAAGGGATGCTGGCTAGAAAAGCTTGGACTAGAATCAGCCTCTTACTAAAAGACAAAAGTCTCCCTCTCCACCCAGCAGCTCTCTTTATAACTGTATCTACCATAGGCTGAAGGTCCTCTCTTCTAAGTTTAGTATAGTGAAGAGGGGCACCAAGATACTTAATAGGGAAAGTACTTTGTTTACAGCCTAGTGACTGGGCAAAACTAACAGCCTCATCCCTATCAATATTGATAGGAACCAGATCACACTTATGGAAGTTGATCCTCATGCCAGAAAGTTGCTCAAAACAGGAAAGTAACCACTTTAAATTCCTAGCACGGTCTAAGTTTTTATCAAGAAACAGCAGAGTGTCATCAGCATATTGCATGCTAAGAACCCCAGCTGGGTTAGAAGGGGGAAAAACCCAGCAATCAAATGATGATTAGTTGCTTTAGCTAGTATTCTAGTGAATACATCAGCAGCAAGATTAAAAAGCAAAGGGGAGGCAGGGTCACGCTGCCTCACACCATTGCCAGCAATAAAAAACTCACTATTGGTGTCATTAATCCTGTCCCCAACAGAACCATTGTGGAGCAGGGAGCCCTATTTGTACATCCATTTAGGGCCAAAACCTCTTCTCCTAAGCATGTCTAATAAGAAATCTCTATTTACCATGTCATAAGCTTTCTCATAATCAAGCTTAAAACAAAACCCCTGGAGGTGGTTACTAGCTACAACATGTACCACCTCATGGGCAACTACAATACTCTCTAGAATAAACCTACCTTTAATAAAATCAGTTTGGTTGGGAGAAATCAAGTCATTGCAAACTGGGCCCAACTTATTAACAGCACACTAGCAAAGATCTTGAAACTACAATTAATCATAGCTAGGGGTCTGAATCGATCCAAAGAAACAACATTTGGTTCCTTAGGAACAAGAGTCAGAAGGGAGAAATTGAGTCTAATAAGTCCAACTCACCTTTCTCCCAATCTCTAAAGAGTGCAAACAGATCACTCTTGATGAGATCCCAGAAATGTTGATAAAACAGAAAAGGAAAACCATCAGGACCAGGGGCACCTTCAGCATAAGAGCCAAAAACTGCATTTTTAATTTCTTCTTCACAAAAAGGTTTTTCTAAATACTCAATATGTTCAGTAGTGGCCATGCTAGACTGGTCCCAAAAGTCATCTAATAGATTTAGATTTATGAAAGGAGAGTAGCCAAATAGATTCTTATAATATGCTACTTCATTAGAAATGATACCTTCAGTATTTTCAACTCGGCCATCAGCAGTTTCCAGGACATCAATATGCTTCTTCCTTCTCTTCTGGTTGGCCAAGGCTTGGAAGTAGTCAGAGTTCAGGTCCCCCTCTTTGATGTCTCTCTCCCTAGCTCTCTGTCTGGCCTTGATTTCCTCTTTCTTCCATATTTCATTTAGATCACTTGCAATCACTTTCAATCTAGCTTTAGAAATAGGGGAAAGAGGTTGAGTTTCTGCAAGAATGTCTAAACAATTATATTTAGCAACCAAGGCTTGCTTAGTCTTGTTCTGAGAGGCCTCATAATTGAGACTCCACCCTTTGGTGTTTTTCCTAGTATTTCTGATCTTAAATTGCCAGATATCTATAGCAGAGGAAAGTTGGCATTCAACATTCCAAGCTTTGTGAACAATCTCATCAAAACCAGGAACCTCTAGCCACCATTTTTCAAATCTAAAAACTTTATTTTGGGAATAGCTATTGAGGGAGTCCTAGACTATGGGGTCCTCAGGGAGCCGACCTATGTGACATGGGCTGGACTGATGGGCCGTGAAGATACAAGACAGAAGGCCTTCTCCCATGTCCAGATGGGACTCTCCTTTGCGTGGATGGCAAGCTTGGCGTCCGGATGTGTAGTTTCCTTCCTCTGTAAACCGACTTTGTACAACCCTAGTCCCCTCCGGTGCCTATATAAACCAGAGGGGTTAAACGTAGAGATAATCATAATCATAATCATACAGGCTAGACACCTAGGGTGTAGTTGTTACAATCTCGAGGTAGATCAACTCTTGTAACCCCTATACTCCTCAAAGTCAATCAAGCAGGAAGTAGGGTATTACCTCCATTAAGAGGGCCCGAACCTGGGTAAACATCATGTCCCCTGCCTCCTATTACCTTCGATCCTCAGACGCACAGTTCGGGAACCCCTACCCGAGATCTGCCGGTTTTGACACCGACATTGGTGCTTTCATTGAGAGTTCCTCTGTGCCGTCGACAGAAGGGTTGATGGATCACCTTGTCATCAAGGACAGTATCACTTACGTAGGAGCCCTAGCTTTAGGGCAAACCCTCCGGCTTGGCAGCTTCACCATGGGCGCTCGTTCGACCGTTAAGTCAAAGACAACCTAGCCTGTCACCAAAAATCATCTATGCGTCGGCCCCAAATACTCCGACAAGGTGGATCCGGCAGATGTATCATCCTTAAACGAACTGCTAGATCGCATCGCCGCCCTGGGGGTCGCAACTGAATATGATCAGATTGGGCTTAAACCCAATCAAGAGAGAAATCAAATCTCCATCGATCACCCATTAGGTGGCGGTTGTGGAGGAACAAGCTGACAATAACTCTCCTCCTATGTTGAGAACAAAGTATGTTCGGATTTTCGAGCTCGGAGAGCCGGACACCCATCGTCGGGAGGACACTCCCTGTCCTTCGAACATAGAATCAGGCGTTGAGCCTGAGAACTCACCGGACACTCTGGAGCCTGGGCTGGTAACCTCGGAAATTCTTCAAACTCCGGACTCCACAGTGGGTCAGGGTTCGGATTTAACTCCGCCCACCCACCACAAGCAATATTCCCCAAGAAGTTCCGGTCCTTCGGATATATGCGACCTAATGTACGTGCGACAGCAGCCTCAGGAAACATTCCATCACTTCTGGACCAGATTCCTCCTTGTTAAAAACAAGATCAAAGATTGCTGCGACGACGACGCGATCTCATTATTTTGTAACAACTGTACAGATGAGCGAATCCTTAATGCCCTCAACCGCCATCGCATACTGCACTTTATAGATTTGGCACACATAGTACAGAAGTACTGCGCAATGGAAAGCGC